CTATCTATCTATCTATCTATCTATCTATCTATCTATCTATCTATCTACCTATCTCTATGTTCATAAATCATGAAGGATACTGGTCTATCCTTTTCTTTTCCTGTAATGTCTCTGTCTGGCTTTGGCATCAGAGTAACATTGACTTCTAGAATGAGTTGGGAAGTAATCTCTTCCATCTTCTGGAAGAGTTTTTGTGGGTTTGGTATTATTTCTTCCTTAAAGGAATTACAGAATTCCACAGTGAAGGCATCTGCAGCTGGAGTTTTCTTTGTGGGAAGTTTTTTAACCACAAATTCAATTTTTTAAATAGATATGGAGCTAGTGGAGTTATCTATCTCTTCTTGAATAAGATTTATAAGTTTGTGCCTGTTAAGGAATTTGTCCATTTAACTTGTTGAACTTACTGGCATAAAGTTTTTCATATTAACTTATTATCTTTTTTTAAAAATTCATTTATTTATTTAAGGGAGAGAGAGAGAGAGAGAGCATGAGCCAGGGGAAGCAGCAGAGGGAGAGGGAGAAGCAGACTCCCTGCTGAGCAGGGAGCCTGACGGGGAGCTCAATCCCAGGACTATGGGCTCATGACCTGAGCTGAAGGCAGACGCTTAACTGACTGAGCCACCCAGGTGCCCACTTATTATCTTTTTGATATCTGTAGAATCTGTAGTAATGGTACCTCTGTCAATACTGATATTGGTAATTCATGTCTTTTACCTTCCCCCCCAATCAGTTAGAGCAGGTTTATCCATTTTATTGTTGTTTCTCAAAAAAACAGTTTTTCTCTATTGTTTTTATTTTATTTAATTAATTTATTTTTTTAAAGACTTTATTTATTTATTTGACAGAGAGAGACACAGCGAGAGAGGGAACACAAGCAGGGGGAGTAGGAGAAGGAGAAGCAGGCTTCCCCGCAGAGCAGGGAGACCGATGTGGGGCTCGATCCCAGGACCCTGGGACCAGGACCCGAGCCGAAGGCAGACGCTTAATGACTGAGCCACCCAGGCGCCCCATCTTTTTTTTATTTTATTGGTTTTCAATCTAATCTTTATTATTTCTCTTCTCTGCTTAGTTTGGATTTATCTGCTCTTCTTTTTTGAGTTCAAAGGGGTAGCTGAGGACACTAAGTCCCACCCTTACTTTCTACTGTAGGTGTATAGCATCATAAATTTCCCACAAAATTTTTTGTGCTTTCATTTTCATTAAGTTAAAAATACTTTCCAATTTCTCTTTTGATTTCTTCCTTGGACTATAGGCTGTTTTAAAGTATTTAATTCAGCTTCCAATTTTTGGGGGGGGATTTTCTAGATATCTTTATGCTATTCATTTCTGATTAAACTTCTTCAAAGTCAGAAAAAATACTTCGTATGATCTGAATATTTTCAATTTTATTGAGCCTTGTTTTATGGCCCCAAATATGGCCTATCTTGACAAACCTGTATATACTTAAAGAGAATCTTCATTCTGTTGTTTCTGATAGAGTGTTCTAGCAATGACAATTAGGTCAAGTTGATTGATAATGGTACTTAAATCTTTTATATCCTTACTGATTTTCTATTTATTTGTTCTATCAATTATTGAGAGGGAGGTGTTGAAATCACCATTATTGTGGATTTGCCTATTTTTTTTTCCTTTGCAGTTCAATTAGTTTTTGTTTCATGTATTTTGAAACTATTAGGTGGATAAATATTTGGAATTGTTGTGTCCCTTGATGAACTGCCCCCAACCTTAGGTTCCTAACCTAAGGCATGCTCTAAGTGTTTGTGGAATTAATGAATTAATAAGTAACTACTGATATTTTCCAAGGAAGTATGAGTGTGACTCTGGAAAATTCCTATAATTCCTCTAGACCAGTTTCTTCACTTTTAGAATGGGGAAGGGATGGTAATGGTGAATCTGGGGGGTTAAGAGATTGAAGAGTGTTTTTCAAACCTTGCTGTGGGGGACCCCACAGTTTTGCAGGGACACCCTCCTCAGGAGAGCTCCCTACCCACTGCCATCCCAGCAAGTTAAGTAAGACTCTAGGTATTTTACATATTGACTTTTTATGTCAAGTTTCAGCTGATTGGAGGGCTCTGGCACTAAATGAAGTTTCAAGAGCACTGAATTAAACATCCTGTGAGGTTATCCCAGCTCCAAGATTCTGAGTCTCTCCAAGGACCACTCCTCTCAGCCAAGGAGAATTCTGAGAAAACGCCCCATAACGGCAAAAGCAAACATCAAAGATCTCAGTAGGAAAGCAGCACAATTCAGATGAAGAGTCCCTGAGGCACACAACCAGGCAACAGGCAGCTCTCTGTCATGGCTCTAGCTCGTAGCTCTCCCACTGACTGGCCGAGAGACCTTGAGGGAGACTATCAGCATCTCTGCTCATGTTAGAGATACCGATTCTCATTCAGAGATTCTCAAAAGGAGCCTTTCTCAACTAGTATCTAAGGTTCTTCTTAATTGTGTGTATGTGTGTGTCCATCTTTAAAAACGTCAACCATAACTTGGGCAACTACTGTGGCATTTCACGGACGATCCCACTGTTACATAGAACCTCATCAGATGTCCTGTCTGGGTTTCATTCATCTAGGACTTGGGTAGCAGAAAATATAAGGGTAGGAGTGGGGACCCCATGAGGGCAGATTGGCATAAGTGAAGGCCTGGGGAAGGAGGAAAGTGCACAAAGTTTGGCAGAGACTTATGCAGGGGTGCAGAGAAGGGGGGCAGTTATGTTGTTGGCCTCACATACGCTTGGACTTAATTTGGAAGAAAATGGGGAGTCAGTGAAGAATGTGGAGCTGGACAGTGGCATGGTTAGGATGTGCTTCAGGGAAATTAATTAAGTGTGGCTACAGGAACAAAGTGGAACAGAGAAATCTGGGAGGCAGAGGTATAAGTATGGAAGGGATGCGCTGCCCAAGGATGGAATAAGGAATCATTAAAGCTCTGACTGATGAGGTTTGTGCTGCTTTACTTTCTCTCTCTGTTGTATTTTCTTTTTGGTTTTTTTTCTTCTTTTTTTAACACATTCTCTCTCTCTCCACACAAATAAAAATTAATGTAATTATTATATATTATATAAACATGAATATAAAATATTATATATTATATAAAACTATAATTAAATTAATATACATTAAAGTTTTGAATATCTGTAGTTCAGATAGCTTCAGATATATATACACACACATATATATGTATGTATATATACACAGACACACACATATATATCATATATATAATTATATGAAATTAGAAAGGACCATAAAGCTATTGTCATAAACATAAATAAATGCCGGAATTGTCAAAAAGACAGAAGCACTGATATTCTTCAAATGATAAATGCTGGTAAGCAACTTCAGAGGTGAGATACCATTTAACGCTTGTAACTCCAAAGACGGAAAAATATTCCTAACTAATGCTTCTGTTTTTTCATAAAATAAGGCTTGAAATAGAGGCACATAGAACATGAGACTTCTGCCAGTTGTCACTTACAAAAATATAAAGCGGGTCATAATTTGGAGAAACAGCTAAGGCCTCAGGTGGTTTCATGCCCAAGACTGAGGTCTTGCCAGGGAGCTGAGGTGTGGCGTCCTGCTTGGGCAGAGTTATGACGGTGGCTTCATCCTATGAAGGGACCAAGAGGTGCGTTGGCCTTGATGCCAGGAAAAAGAGGGGAAACGCGACAGCAATTCTTAAAGGTGGGGATGTGCTACCTCAGCCCCTTGCTTCAGAGCTCGAGCAAGCTTTTGAGGTTTGTAGCTTGTTGACGACTTCTGGACACAGAATGGCTGATACCCTTTAATTTTGTACAGTTGAGGAACCTGAGGTCAAAGAAGACAACCGATTGAATGTTCTTAAACAGCCGTCACCAATTAATGGGATCTAATTCTCAAAAACCGTACTTTTGAGTTGCTTGATGGTGAAAGTCCCAGCCCTGCTCCGGGTCCCAGCTCTGGGTCCCTGTACACATGTTGGGCATTTGCAATTACTGTCCTCTACCACAGGGCCTACCTGTAGAAATACACTGAACACTGGTTTGTGGATTTGAAATATTTATATTTTCAAAACCAGGAGTGGCTATATACGTCCAGGAAGGCCAACTAACTTTTGCTTACTTCATCTTGTGTTTTTTCTTAAAGCTTCTAATCTATGTAGTTCAGGTAGCTTTGTGTAAGCATAATATATCATATATCCACAGAGTAAAGATCCTGGTCTCCAGAAACTACAGATGTTATACCTCGCACGTACCATAAAATAACAGCAGAAAAATATACACAGTATGCTATGGTGTCTAATGTTCAACAGAACAAAATTAATAAAATGGTACAATTCAAGTCCCAGAATATTTTGTTCACTTCATGAGAAACCCATTAATGAATACCGTATGACGGGTCTGACCTGCAGACTGAAGAAGGAAAAACTCTGCTTGATTTGAGTTTCTGAAGGTTTAATTGGAACCAGTCCAAGGCCAT